GGGTCTCTGGAACTGAGTTGTGGACATGGGAGTGGGAATCTCAGCATCCTGAATCCAGGGCTGCAGAACCTGAGCCCCTGCCCCTCCCCAGCCTAGGGAGAAATATCCCCATAGGGTCAGGCCCTTACTGAGCTGGTTCTGCAGCAGTTCCTCATGGAAAAATTGGGATTTTTTTTGCCTGAATCACCTTGATCGTGTTAATTTTTTGTAGGACAGGTGAAACCCTTCCCCTCCAGTTTTGTGGATCTGGCTGAAATAGAACACAGTTTTACAGCTCAGAGTAACCCAGCTCTCTGTGCTTCAGACTCCCCTAATCTCCTCCTAGAAGAGAGCTCAAAGGCTGTAGCATTGCTGAAGTCTCAGGCTCTGCACACCCTGCTCAGCAGTGCAGCCCCAGCTCACACCTCTGACAGTACGTTTCCTGAGCACAGTGCCTGCATGTCCCTGACCTTACTGTGCAACCAACTTTTGTGGGTTATGCCTCCCCCTGCTATTTTGGGGGACCACAGAGGCCTTTCCGGGAAGGCTGTAGGGCAGCCGTGGGGCTCGTGTGCAGTTCATTGAAGGTAAGAGGTTATTTGTGGGACAATGTGGCTCTACATCTCTCCACCTCCCACCCACCACGAGGGGTTTAACAGACATCATTTTGCTCATGAAGTTCATGCTTTTACATCCACACTGTTCCGCCTGGGGTGTATTCATCAGTGCAAACCTCTTTACTTTGCAGGTCATTCCCAGAGCAGGGTCCCTCAAGCCTCACTGGACCCAGGGAAGGACTCACCCTCCTTTGCACTTTGCTGTGTTTCCCTCAGGATCAGTTCAGTGACATTCCCAATCCCAGTTGTGCTGGGGATTATGCATTTAACTGAACCCACAAAGATACCCCTTCAAAAGCCCCAGAAAACTTAAATTTCCTTTTTTTTCTGCCTGGACCACCTTTCCTTGTTTTACCACTAGATGGGAGAGTGAGACTGAGCTAACTGAGGTGCTCCCATCCTTATCCCGGTAGGAATTCCGAGGGGAGAAGACTACTGAAAGATGCCTGCGGGTCATCCTGCAAATCCTCTGACCTCGGGAAGGGAGCAGGTAGCCCCCAAAATGCCTGGTTGTTTCCTAAAAGTGCATGGTTAGGGGGGACTAATGCTTGCCTGGTGCTTTCACAAAATACCAAGATGCCAGTGGATCCCACTCTGGAAGGGGGATTCACTTACACAAACACTGGGTATATTCTCGGGGTGAAATATTTCATATTTTTTCTCCTATCCACCTGAACTGGAGCAGAGGGACATAGGGGAAACACTTGCAATTCATTCCTCTCATCCACACCCCAAATTCTGTTTCCCAGGAATCCGAGTGATCCCAAAAATTTTTTGGGGAGGTAAAGAATCACAGAAACACAGAATCACAAAATAGTTAGTGTTGGAAGGGACCTCAGGAGATCATCTAGCCCAAAACCCAACAGGTAAATGTAAATAAAGCAGCATTTTCTCCTCCTTTCCTTCTACAGGATTTTCTTCCTCCTATAGGATTGTTGTGTAATGATACTCCCGGTGAGAAAATAAAACTGGTCTATTGCAATGATTGTACTTGCAGGAGAAGAATTCATGCCCTGGTCCAACACCACTCGCCTCAGGAGCTGCTTTGGGTGAGGGAGGGGATGGCACCCAGTTCATTAATATCTTAATAAATTTACTTTCACTGCAGCACTTCCCATCTCCTGAGACCTCCCAATGTTTTGCTGAGACTGGGTATATTCAGGAATTATATAGCTGTAGAAGCAGTTTCTCAGCCAAATCCAATGGTCTAGTTTGACTATTTTTACTATTACTAGGTTTGGGACTTTAAAGAGGGACATTTCTACTTGCTTCCTGAGATTTCACAGATTCCGGAAGAAATTTCGCAGGAGACAAATTTTCTGACTGCCTGTGTGACTACATCAGAACATGTAATCCCTGTAGAGTGGAAATAATCTTTTGTGGGGGTTTTGCTTTTTGCCCAAACTTCCTAATTTGCAAACTCTTTAGAGAAGTGACTCAACTGATTTGCCCAATGCCTGGCACAGTTTGGTAATGAGATGAAATAATTCTAATAACTTCCCTAACTGCAGTGCCCTTGTTGCCTCTGTTGTGGTCTCTTGGCTTTGCCTGCACAGAAAATATCTGTCATTATCCTGCTAGACATAAATAACAGCTTCTTTGGAAGACAGAGATTGTATTTTTTACTGGACCTATCTACTCTTATTTTCCATAAGCAACAGCCACCCCACCCTGTGTGTGCAATGAGGCCACTGAGTCACCAGCATGAAGCAGTGACCAGCTCATACATCTCACCAGGGAGGACCCAAAATCCCCTCCAAAGAAGAGAAGAGACATCTTTCTTCAGATGATAATTAGAGGTGAAAAAATGTAGCCTGGAAGCAATTAAAAAAAAAAAAAATAGACATTCCAGACCTGGCAGGTCCAGGGCACATCTCCTTGTGCAAAGGTTTGCTTGCTCAAGCCCTGGCATGGGCCACCCAAAGCAGAGGAGGAGTCCCATCCCTGGAGGGATTTAAAAGACATGTAGATGTGTCACTTGGGGAAATGGTTTAGTGTGGGCTTGGCAGTGTTGGGGGAATGGTTGCACTTGATGATCTTAGGTGGCTTTTCCAGCCTATGGTTCTAAATGATTCTGTGATTCTGCCTCCTCCTGAGGGGCATTTTGAGCTCCCAGCTGAGCTCAGAGTGGGGCAGGTGCTGGTGAAGTACATGGGAAATGCTCCACGGGACTGAGACATCTTTGGAGGGGCAAGAGGCAGCTGTGTGATGGTAAGCACAGAGCACAGATTAACAAAAAACTATTACCAGGGTGAACATCAGCCCCAGGACACCAAGGCATCCCCAGACAGAGGGCTCTGCACAGCAGGAGATGTTGACACTCTCCCTGATGGTACCCATGGTGAAATCCAGCCCTGATGAAATCCAGCAGGCCAACCTCTCCTGTAGACCTTGATCCTGCAAGAGGAACTACAGGGATGGATTTTCAAAGTCAGCCAGAACCAGCTGGATTGAGACCTTATCTGAGATAGCAATAGAATTAGCCACGTGATTTCTTTTCCATGTTTACAGTGGCAATATTTTTCCAAAGTTCAAAGTCTTCCTCTGCAGGAAGCATGTGATATGCTTTGCAGTTACACCATATTTTGGTGCTATGAACAATTAAAAAAATCAATTTCCAGAGCAATATTTTCTATGTTTGTAATCTCTGAACTAATTACAGGGCTGGAAAATCAATAGCTATCTGGAAATCTTTCCAATACAGCTAACTAAGCATGCTGCATATCATGCTGGAATATATTCTTCACAAACACATGCTGCTCATGACCATCTCCCAGATCACACAGGCAGATGATATCACTGTTAATAAGCCCCTGTGCTTCACTGCACTGCAATGGCAGCATTTACCAAAATCTGCAGGGGGGATTGGGCAGAGCAAATAGCACAGTACATGAGAGCTGGAGCAATGCTTGTGCCAGCATTTTAAGCCAACGACAAAAACAGTTGAAAGACTCATTTAGTTCCACAGGAACCTACAAAAAGATTATGAAATAAAGTCATTAAAAGTTCATGCCTTAGTTATAATGTTGGGTTTTTTGTCATGCTGTATTAAAATAAGAAGTAAAACCTTTGGTGACTGAAAATAACCTCTTTGTCTAGTTTCCTAGTAAGAGAGAAGTGGTGTTAAATGGGTAGTTTGATGGTGATTATACACCAAAAACACACGTGAAGAGGAAGGGTGTTGCTCTGATGGATGGATCTCCTCTTGCTGTACAAACACACTCTGTTGACCATGGCAGCTCAGTTGGAGCCAAAGCTCAAACCCTTGTGCTGATGCTCTTCACTGCTTCCCACACACACTGCAGGCATTGCTGGGATCTTCTCCAAGATGCTGCCGCCTCCCTCGTGCCCTGCAAGAGCTCAGTGTGCTCTTCCTTGGTATGCTGGAGTTTGTGCTGCTGCTAAATGAAGAGGAAATATTCCCATTGGACACGGTGCCAGCAGCACAGCAAGTGGATAAGAAGCACAGACCACAGTACAGGGGATTTTCCCCAGGCTCCCATTTGCACTCCTGCTTGGTACAAGAAAGCAATGAATTCTGAGCTGTCACCAAGCCACAAAATATTTGCTCTGATTTTATATGTTTTTCTCTGATTATTCTTCATAGCTGTTTTCCCCCCAGTGAATTGAAATCTCTGCCCTCACTCCCTCCCCAAGTCAGGAGATCCCTGCAGTTCTCCAAGTTGGTGATCCTCATCCTGGAGTGGAACTTTGGGTCTAGCAGCCCATGAGTTAAGGTGCAGCATGTGCCTTGTCCCAGCCCTCATCTCAGGAGACAGGTCGTGATTTATAGTCCCTCCTAAATAATTTGGCAGGTTAGTTATACCCAAAGAATTTAAATTTTGGAGCTGGACATGATGCATGTAGTGATCTGGATTGTAACTATTGTCATTATTAATTTCTGTTTGCATTTCTGTAGCACTCCCATGTGCAGATGAGGATTTCCTGTGCCTGGTGCAGCACAGTGGCACAGAGAAAGGAGCCCTTTCTGTCAGCTCCAGGCTGACAGCCTGCCTGGAACAGCAAACCCAAACCTGAGAGGGGCTGGGGGTGTTGATGGCAACGGCACCCAAAACACACACTCCAATGGTGTGGCTCTGCTAATCTGGGCTGTTTCCTGCCAAGAAGCAACAACTACAAAAATACTGTGCTTATCATTACCACAGTAAAAGTTTCTCTTTTAACTTCCTAGGCTGAAATGACCCTGATGGTGACGCAGAGTTGTGGGTGCCACGCATTGCTCAGACTCTGCAGGACCAGACCTACAGCTGCTGCACTAAATTTCAATGTCTTCTCTTCAGATGATGATGTCTTTGGACTTTCCTATTTTTCTTGCCAATCTAATGTCATATTTCCTTCAAATAAAACTCGGTGTGTGAGAACTCACTTCTGTTTCTCTCTTAGGAAAGGAAGGCTGCGCTGTCTGTGCATCACCTAACAGGAAAGACCTCAGGACAAAGAGCTCAGAACCCTCCAGAAATCTTTCAGAGAGAAGCTCCAGCTCTCCCTTATCTCTTTTAAAGTTAACACATCACACGCTGTACATGCTCAGTAACAAAGTTCCTAATGTTGTTTCCCGATAACCCAGAGGCCCGGGACAGCAATGCTGTTGCTGTTTCATAGAGGGCGAGAGCGGGACACTTGCTCCACTGGCTGCCAACAATCAGCACTTTGGGAACATCCCACACTAGCGGTTTGCACAGAGATTATTGGGTTTCACAGCCACCAAAGCATGTGTCACCATGAATTTGTATAATTATTCCTCAAATACAGTTACACTTTTGGCTCTGCAATGCCTCCAATATCAGTTGCTGCTGTTTAATCAGGAGCTGCTTTAAACCTCCTACCTCATCCTTTCATTTACAGGATCCTTTGCTCTAGTAATAATAAAGGCAGCTCACAGAGTTGAGCAGAATGGATTCTGATGCTCCAGCTTGCAAAGCCAAAGGGTCTTACAGAGGCAGGATAACACAAAGTCTGGTAAAAACCCAGGGAGGTACTTTCAGAAGTTCATTTCCCACTGCAAGCCAGTAACCAGCCACCACTCTTGAAAAATCCCATCTTTGTTTGTTGTTTACTGCGTTTCCTGTGAATGAATTTCTGGCTCAAATTAGAGTTGTAATAAAACTCTAAAAAAATATTATTTTAGAAAAAACTTAGATCTGTCCTTCCGTCCTGGGGATTTGTTGCTTGTTCTGCAACAGGAGATGTGAATCATGGAAGTATCTATAACAGCAATATTAGGAAATGACCATTCAGGCACCAGAGATCTGTATCAGACATTATGCCTTTAAATAAATTGTCTGTTACTATGTTAATCTAATCTTGTAAATACATGCACACTTAACTATATTAAAAATGTAAATGCTCCCAGAACTGGACTTCACATGATGAACGTGAACTCCCCTTTTTTCCTTGCCAGCTCTGCAGATCTTGGAAAAACAAGGATTGTTCAATTTGATGGGCATTAATAAGGTTGATGTCTGCACAGATTTAGCCAAAAGATTGTCACGATCATCTCAGGCCCCACGTGGCTTACAGGCCTGAACTTGAAGAAACATCTTTCAACAGCCGCTGGTGACGGAGCGATTCCAGCTCTGGGAGCACCTCCAGCCAACTGACTTGCCTTCTGTGGCACTGAATTTGCATTCATTAAAACCAGAGTTTTAATGAGTTATGGAGATTTATAAAAAATGGCATGCCAGAGTTGCTGACACTCCCAAAGCTTCTGACAGAAGTACAACACACCATAAACCCTGGTGGGAAATACTGAATGAAAACCAGTGCAGGTATATCTGCAAGTGTTAACATGACTCATAAAATCAGGGATTTAGGGAAACTAAAATTATTGGTGCACTCCAAACTTGAGGAGATAGTAATACATATAATGAGAATAATATAAAAATGTTAGTAATAACACTGCCAATATGATTACCAGTCTCCTTGTCATTGTTTATTACCATCACTGCCCTGATAATTCTCAGCTCTAAGAATGGACAGAGGCAGAGATTCCCTCACGCTTTCAGAAACAATCTCTGTGCTTTGGGAAACAAATTCCAGTTTCTCCTATTCCTTAGAACAGCTACCAAGATCCTTAGGATGAGGCCAGTCTGGGAAGACTCTGGAGGAGCCTTCTGCCACTCAAACAGCAAGGTGTGCATTGGCTCTCACTGAGTGCCGGGGGCTGTGAAACCTGAGTTTAAAACAAACTTCCCCTGGGATAGGCTCCTTTTCATTTACAAGTGAATCAGCAGAGATGGCAAGGCTGATTTGCCATGCCACTGCCCAGCATCTTTTAAAGATTTTGTAGGAGACAGGTTGCTTCCAGGTGACCTCTGTGCTGCCTTGCCACACCTTCTTCCTTGGATACCTTATCACAGTTGTTATTAGCTCATGCAAATCCACAGCACGAGTTCCTTATCTTTACATCTCTCTCACCCAAGAGGTAACCTATTTTGAGATGCTGTACGAGGAATCACCAATAACTAAGTAAAAAAACTGCTCTGCACCTCTGAGGACAACTTCACCCAAGGCAGGGTGGATCAAAACATACGTGGAGAAGTGAGCTGAGCTGAGGAGCAGGGATGCATCCCCCTACAGTCAGAGCAAATGATGACTGCAGCTCTGCACAGTTGAACAGGAAATGTGGGGGGATTCCCCAGCTCGGACACTTTTGACGCATTGCTTCACCTTTGTGCATTTGTTTTCCTTTCCACTCTGTTTATTTAAAATATAAATGGTTTGAAACAGGGCCTTACTCATCAGTGATTATACAGCACCAGCCAAAACAGCGCCCTACCCTTATTGTGGAGGAAATGATCTGTATATAATAAAGCAACATGAGTGTGTGTACGTGGAGCAAATGCTTCCTGGTTTTCCTGACCACACCACGCAAACAGCGGACTCTCCTACACTTCATTTTGCAGCTCTCAATTTAACCCAAACAAGCAAGAATCCCATTCAGTCTCAGCTCCAAGGGGCACAGCAAGGATGGGACAAAAAGGCAGCACCTTTCAGCTCTATCCTGAAGCCACTGCTTCAGAGGAGGAGGAGGAGGCAGTGATGTGAGCAGCATCACCACAGCCCTGGATGAGCCTTGGTGAGCTGCTGAGTCTGCTTCTGCTTCGGCTCCTGCCCCAGCTCTCAGTTCCTTGTGTGTCCCTGAGCTCCAGCAGCAGCTGTGGGAAAGGTACAACACTGCTGCCCCTGCACTGAGCAGAGAGGGGACTGCAGGGCTCAGCATGGTGGCTGGATGTCAGATGTCTGCCCACGCCTTTGCCCTCCTCCCTGCCTCACACAGCGTTAGCTGGGCTTTTCCATTACCCGGGTTATCCTGCGCACTCCGGGAAATGGAGCACTGATTGCACTTTAAAAGCTAAACATGCAGTGCCTGAATTATTTATCTCTGAACATGCAGAAACGGGCCAAATTCCCAAGTGAGGCGGAACAGCTCCTGTAAAAAATGCAAAGGGGGCTGCAAAGGCTTCACGGGTGGGCAATGCAGGAGCTGCACGGTCAGAACCTCACACGTGCACGTGTCACATCTGCTGAGATTCTTCCTGACAAGGTGGTTCGTGTGCTGGAGGGGGTGGAGTGCTCAGCTGCAGGTGCTGGTCTGGAGACTCATCTGTGGAAGTGCGCAAGGGCCCTCTCTGTACCTCAAACCAACCACTGTGACAGCAGGTCCCCAAAGAGCAAAGAAAAAAGGCTCAAACAAATGCATTAATGCAAATATAAGGGGTTCGGGGTGTCCCACAACGTTCCTGCTCAGCCCCCTCAGCTCTGGAGGGGTTGTGCCTCCTCTGCAATCATTAACTGAGCCATGCCCAGCCTGACAGTGCCTGGCACGATATTGTAACCACACAGATAGCGCCGTGATAGCCGTGTTTGTGCTCCAGGTTCAATAATGCCCCTGCATCTGTCCCTGCACTTTCCCTTCCTTTTACTCTAACTCAGCTCCAGGAATAGCTGGAGGAAAGACGAAAATCCTGCCTTTGCTCTCTGTCATCACAGACACAGATGCAGCTCTTTCAGCACTGTTGCATGGATGCACCCCAGAATTTCTCCGTGAGCATCCCGGGGTGCAGGGGAGGCTGGTATAGCCCCGGGACGAGGATGGGCAGCCCGAGCCCTATCCGGGGGCTGCATGTGCCGGGGGAAATCGGGCGGGTTTGATATGATGCAGAAGCTCTTAGCAGGGCTAAGGGTACCTGCTCCTACCCCTGCTCCTACCTTACCCTTACCCCTACCCATAACCCTACCCCTAATCCCAACCCTATCACTGTTCCCTCCTTACCCATCTTCCTCTCGCTCCCCCATCCCTCTCCCCATCCACCTCTTGCTATCCCTCTGCCCCTTTACTCCCGTCCCGCGCAGGACCCTCTCCTTGCCCTTCCTCTCCCATCCCCGTCCCTCTCCCCCCATCTCCTCCCGTCCCCCCTCCTCTCTCTCACCCCTTGCCTTATCCCCACTTTCTCTTCGGCCTCAGTTTCCCCACCATTGGCCCGGTCGCCGCCCGCGTCCGTCGCCGATTGGAGAAGGTGCCCGTCCGTCAGGATCGAGGTGCCCGCCCCGGGGAGCGCGGGGGCGGCGGAGCGAGAGCGGCGGCGGCGGGAGCGGCAGCGGCAGGTAGCGGGCACCGCACCGGGCACCGCACCGGGCACCGCACCGGGCGTGGGGCGCGGGGAGGGATGAGGGGCGAGGGGCTGCCCGGGAGACCCTCCCCGCCACGGCAGGACCTGCCGGGAGGTGCCACACGCGTCTGCGGGAGCGGCGCGGGGGAGCCCCGAGGAGACGGGGATGGGCGCGGGGCATCCTTGGGGCGGTGAGAAGCCCCGCGGGGGGATGAGAAGCCCCGCGGGGGGATGAGGAGCCCCGCGGTGGGGCAGGGGGGGGGGCTCGGGGCTGGGATGAGCTGTGCGGGGAGGCAGCTCTTATCCCCGGCGTGCGGGCTTTTGTGTGCGCTCGGTGGGTCGGGGAGCAGAGCTCGGGGTCTGTGCCGGCAACAGCCCGGTTGATGCCATGGAGGGGGGAGAGAGTCACCGAAATGGCCCAACTCATTGAGATTTTCCGCTTGCGATGGTCCCCGAGGATGCTTCAAGCCTGTAGCTGAAATTTGTTCGAACTGATTCACTGCGGTTTGGGCTTTTCCTTTTAGCGAAACCGTGTCTTTCTATGGTAAATTAAAAAGATGCCGAGAAAAGGCGGAAAGTAAGGAAAGGTATTAAAGTGGCATGGCAAAAGAATCCTTGCAACAAGAAAAAAATGTTATGTTAATGATAAAATAATCCCTGTTTCACAGGGGCAGTAACTGAAGTTAGAGAAGGAAGTACCAGGCAGGATGCTGAGCAGAACTGGAGCACTTTAGTCACTTACCCTATATTACTTTTATAACCTATTTGTTCAGATGATAATAATCAAAAGCTGTTATAATAAAACCATGGTTTTCAGTTCTGAGAGCTTAAAAGGCACAAGTGGACCTTAATCACGTGTTTGTTGCATTAACATTTTATTACCATTTTATAGGCTGTTTGGTTTTACTAGGCAACATGCTACAAAACTGAAGTTATCCTAGTCTGGCACCTCTTTTTTTAATATATATATTTCTGGGCTCCTACTTTCTATGGTGCCACTTGGTTGTAAAAACACACATTAAAATAGCATTTGAGGCAGAATGAACACAAAGGAGATCTTTAGAAAAGTATGTCAGGGCTCTTGTAAACGTGCGAGAAAGGATGAAACTGCGGGGAGAGAGGGTTAGTCAAATAATGAAAAGGGAAAAAAATAGCAGCTATTTATATGCAAAGAGGTCTGGCCTGCAAGCTGCCAAAAATGATCAGAAACTGAAGCAGCAGCCCTGTGCACTGGGTGGGCTGCGAGGGACAGACCACAGCCACCTGCCCGGACACGACTCTGCCGGAGCTCTGCAGTGTGAGATGAGCATGGTCAGGTGTGACAAGTGCCACCTGAAGCCCTGGGAAGTAGCCACTCCACTGACATTGCCTTAATTTGTCCTGCACACGGGGGAAGCCCACTAAGTGGCAGTGGCAGAAACAAAATGTGACCGTGGGGTGAGAGGTGAGGCAGGAAGCAGCAAATCCTGTCAGGGTTGGATATTCTTGGCCAGTGAAACCAAGAACTACCTGAGCAAGTACTAGCTAGAAGTCTTTACAGAGATTAGAGATTTGCAGGCAAGGGGGAAGATGGGATCAGCCACTAACAAAAGAAATACCCAGAGGCTTAGGGAGATCAGCATCCAGCTGCTCAGTGCCTCATGATTTCCAACTCCAAACTCCTCCAGGCAGCTTTAATCTTTTTTTTGTGTGTGTCTTTGCAGCACAGAGTATGCTGGGGAGGATTCTGCCCTCTGATTTGGGGCTTTACATCCTGTGGTAGCACAAAAAATGAATCATGGCTCTGTTTTATGCTGCTCGTTTTGTTCAGTCCACCCCAAAAAGCATCACTGAGCGCTTGTTTTACTTTCCTTTATTTTGAGCGTACCAAGCCCAGAAACCTGCCTTTGCTGATGAGCTTGGTCACATCTTGCTCGTATGCAAGATTACCATACACTTTGCTTTACCATTTGGGTTTTTTGTCCTCCTCATATGTTTCCTTGAGCTGCTGCCCACAAGTTGATTATTCAGAGCCTGGGACATTCACACCTTGCAGAATCCCATTAATGCAACAGTGATTGGTGGAAAAGCTCTGCACGACTCTGCACCCATGGAGCAGAGCTGGCGGCTGGTTGCTGGTGGGTTAGTGAGGTAAGGAGTATGATTTCAGGGGAAAGGTTCCCCCTTTGGATTTTGTACTTAATGAGTTGAGGTCACTGTATTAAGGAAATGTGTAGGAGTTACTAACCACAGGCTGTTACGGATGCAAGCAGCCCTGAAATGCGTCGGTCTGGATTTCAGTAGCCACCCTGAAGTGCCCTGTGCTTCCCAAGGACACTTAAAAAACACATCAACTTGGTCTGATGAGGGGCTGATCCTTGTGCAGAGGAGCAGAATTTGGAAGCTGTAGTAGTCCAGAGCACCCCACGGGCAGAATCGGGGGCTTTGACCGTGGGGTTGGTGGCAACATGGCTCTCCCTTGCACATGTCCCTTATCAGGTTTCCAGCTATCCCAGCCTCTATAGCTGCAGGATCTCCAGATGCAAGAGCTGTTCCTCTTCTGGAGCCACTCTCCTTTCCCTTTTCAAAACTGATTTATTGCTAGACCTCCCTGTCATATAATTAGTTTTGTTCCATCTTGGCCTTGAGTGACCTCCTGGCGTGCGAGTGGGGATGCTGAGCGGCAGGATTTGAGAACAAAGAGTTTCTGCAAACATGTTCTGGGAAAAATGCTCTGAGAGAGGTCAAGGACTCAACTGGTTTATGAATCCCAGACAAAAGCATCCATCCTACTTCAGTAGCTGGGATGAGTGATTGTAGTACTCAGTGGGCCACTAACTTTAGTAGATTTTGTGTCAGACCTCTCGTTAGTACGGTAGAGAGCATGTGATGAGGCAGCGAAGTCTTTAATATTAACAGGGTAGAGTTATTCTGACCTTAAATCTCTCCTCAGCCAGAAGTACCTCTAAATCTGGGATTCTACAATGTTGCTGCTGCCAAAAATAATGTCATCCCACCTCTATTTGTAAATGAGCTTGAGCAATGGGAATATGTTAGTGCTGGGAAATACTCCGTTTATTCTGGTTCATCTTGTTCAGCAAAGTGCAGAGCCTTTCCAGCAGTTCTTGAAATTCTTGGAGCAGTGAAGACACTGGTCCCATTTCTTCCCTTGTGCTATTTCACTGACATGTAAAGTTACACTAAAAGTAAATTTAATTGCTGTTGTTAATGGATATGCTGCCAAGC